GGAGTGAGAGGTGGAGTTGCCTCACCTCTTGCGCAACTCAGTTTCCCGAGTTGATGCGAGGCCGAACATCCTCCTTGCCTTGATCCGGGCATTGGGAGGTCTTGTGCTTGGTGCTGTTGCACCAATAGCAGCAGCCGTAGCGGCCGTGCCACTTGTATTCTGCCTCGGTGAAGTGAAACTTGACCCATGGTACTGGCTGTCCGTTTCCGGCCGGCAATGCAGTTTTCGCCTTCCCGTTTTCCTCGGGACTTGTTGTTGCTTCGCGGCTGGACAGCAGCCACCTGATCTCCCTCACGTGACGCTTGGCTGGCTGTCCGATTGGACTGCAGCGACATGCTGCAGTCGCGGACTAGTTCTCACCTTCTCCACATTGGTTGGCTGCCACGTTGACTTCTCGTGTGCAGCCGCCCTGTTTGTCTTGATGATCTCCCTCGCCTTGTTGATGATTTCGGCGAAGGTGTTGTACTGCTCACGATCACCAAGCGCGAGGCTCAAAGCGGCGCATGACCGGTTGTAGAACTCCCGGCGCAGATGAGGAAATGGCAAGTCCAGATCGGGCGTCGCCACAATCTTTTGCCAATCCGTGAGCCAACCACGTGCCGCTGTGTTTCCTTGAGCCATCGTGAAGATGCAGTTGATGGTGAGCGCCGGGCCGTCGTCAATGATGAACCGCTTCTTCCATTCTTTTGTCAGATCCTCCCAGGAGACCTTCTTGTGTAGGTCGAAGACCTGGACGCCGTGGACGGTTGCCATATGGCTGAGCCAGATCTGGCATCCTCCCTTGGCGTTAAGGAACAATGCGCCGATGAACAGATGTTCGGGGACCTCATGAATCCCCTACTTCGTTGTGAATCCTTGCCACCAGATGACCGGGTCTTGATGTGTGTAATCATCAAACTTCTCGATCCGGAAAGTCGACATCTTGTAATGCTTCGCCGTGCTGGTGCTGCGATCGGGGTCAGACGACTGTTGTCGCCGCGTGATCTCGGTCTTCAGTGTGTCCAGCTGCTGGCTTATAGTGGCTGGCGCTGCGAAGGTGTTGATATCACCTAGCATTACCACTACGTGATCAACGCGTTCCTCCAGTTGGCGGGGCACTGCTGACGTGGCACTGTGGCACTGTTGACGTGACACTGTTTCTGACGTGGCACTGTTGACGTGGCACTGCTGATGTGGCACTGTTGCTGATGTGGCACTGTTGCTTACGTAACACTGCTGACGTGGCATTGCAGACGTGGCACTGCTGACGTGGCACTGTTGCTGACATGGCACTGCTGACATGGCACTGTTGCTGACGTGGCACTGTTGCTGACGTGGCACTGCTGACGTGGCACTGTACCAACCTGGAAATGCATGCAAAGGGGTGGGTGGGAGCGAAAACGCAGGTAGGTAACCAACCCAACAATACTTTCCTCCCGGTTCTAATCAACAGATAAAAAAAAATAATAAAAAAAAAGGACGACTTCCTTTTTTTTTTTTTTTTTTGTACATCCGTCGATCTGTTATGAGTGAGGCATGTCAGAAGAGCACTATGAGCGAGATCTAGGCTAGGTTCCGCAAAGTTTTGGCTTTCACCAAAATGCGAGCTTGAAAAAAATTTTTTGCGAAATAGACTAGAGAATCTAGAGATGCGATTTTCAGAAAAGAACTAAATCCAGTTTCTGAGAATATGGCAACCTCCTAATATGCCTAACGAAATGCTGGTAGGCTTCGCAAGATTTCGGTTTTAAAAAGAAAATTACGAGATAGAATGGAGATTCGATTTTCAGAAAAGGATAAATCCGGTTTCCGAGAATATGACCACTTCTATCGTTATCCTAATATGCCTAGAAAACGAAATGTTAACATCAGAAATTTTCAGCTATGTATGCGAATATCAGAAATTTCCAGATAAAACGAAATGCTATTATCCGGAATTTTCAGATATTTGAAATGCGAGAAAGAGAAAAAAAAATTCAGAGATTTGACGAAGTCCTACTTGATGTACTAATAAACAATCAATAGATCAAGCAAGCTGGCTACTTGATTGAGCGGGTCCTCTGATTGAGAGGTCCGCTCCGATACCAAACTGTCGCATACCGTAACGGTGCAGACCAGAAGAAGAACCGACCTCTCTCACAAAGTACAAGATAGCGTAGCGGAAGACTTAGATACCAATGATCCGAACAATCAATATTCTAATGCAGCCCCGAACATACATCATCATCATCACTCCATGGTGTGAAGGGGCCTGTCGATCACACAGGAAGAATGCGCCAGTCCCCAACCATACACAGACGAASAAGAGGGGGGGTAGACGAAGAAGAGGGGAAGATGGGAATGTCGTCAACACCAAGTCTTCGGCACAGGCCCAAATAGTCCGTCGTCAAAATGTCTGAATCCCAATGTCGAGTCTGGACCCAATATCGTCAAGTCTCAAGTCACAACTCTCTCTCTCTCTCGTAGTCTGCAGATACTGAGAAGTCAGATAGGGAGAGGGTGAAGAAGAGATGGTGGACTTAGAAGAAGAAGAAGAAGAAGAACTCTCTCTCTCTCTCTGTCCGGTACTAACCTGTGAAGCTGGCGCCTTGATGTAGGTACCTTGAAGATGGAGCTGGAGCTATGGCGCCACAGGTAAGTCTCACTGGCCTCCGCCAGCCATCTCTCTCCAACACTACGTAGCGCCCTGCGCTGAAGACTACTCCTGCAGCTACTAGCGCCCAGCGCTGAAGACTACTGCTAGCGCTAAGCTGCTCCTGCAGCGCTCCTCCAGAGTGCTGCTGCCGAATCCTGAAGACTGCCTCCTGCCTTCTGTCCAACTACCTTGCCTGTAGGGCGGGCCAGTCTTATATAGTGCTGGCCCGTCCAGGAGGCTGCTCTTGCCAATGCCCAAACGTGCTAGACCCTGAGGAAGCTTCCGGGAAGTTTCCAAGTAGCTTCTGGCTAAAGCCTGAGGAAGCTTCTGGAAGTTTCCAGGTAGCTTCTGGCTAAAGCCTGAGGGGCTATAGGCCCTTGTTTTCAGGCTGTCAGGCTGAAATGACAYGGGGCCTGTAGGCCCTGGTTTTCAGGCTGTCAGGCTGAAACAGACACAGGGCCTGTMKGCCCTGGTTTTCWGGCCSTCAGGCTGAAACAGACACGGGGCCTGTAGGCCCTGGTTTTCAGGCTGTCAGGCTGACACGGACATGGGGCCTGTAAGCCCTTGTTTCTAGGCTTTTAGGCTGAGACTGCGGGACAGGCCCTGCAGGCCCGTGTGGCTACACAGTATGCCACACTCCTCACTACCACCTCAATAATCAATAGTCTGAACGAGTATCCGAAATAGCCTCAATGTGCCACGTGGCACGTCTAATCAGTCCCACATCAGCACTGGAGCAATGTCGACATGAAGACAACCAGGTACGTATCCACGAACTCTTCCACAGTCCTGATCTCCTCCTGAAGTGGCGACGAAACAGAACAGCAATGCCGATCATGTAGTCCCCGCAATAGAACACGTGGCAGCAGCCACGTCAGCCAATGATACACGTGGCAGCTGCCACGTCAGCATGCCAAGAAGACAGGAGCAAGCCGGCCACCATGCCGGACTAGCAGCACCTCGCCAAGTCACAATGTCAGTGTCGCACCGTGGAGCCAGCGTCGTAGCGTCGAGCCAGCGTTTGAAGTCAACGCGTGAGGTCAGCATCAACGCAAGACGGAATGAATGTCAAAGCCAGGAAGTCAGGTCTTATGTAGGGTTGACGAGGGGTCTGGACCCTGGATGCTGTATCCCTCGGCCTCTCAATGCGAATGAGGGCCCAGATTAGCCTGAAACTGAATTCCCTACGGCCTGGATGCTGTCTGGGTACCTGCGCACAACAAGTGAGTGTATCCAACCAATGGCCTGGGTGCGGTACCTTTGACTCTACAGTTGACTTTGACTCTTGAATTTCCTGTGTGCAGTGTTCGGTCACACAGCCACACTCGACAGACTCAGGCCTGGGCGTGTCTTGGTCACACAGCCCAGCGCAGAACTACTCAGGTCTGCGTGGCCTGGGGCTGAGTTCTGAGCCCCAGGCTTCTTCTGGACAGGGTTATTACACTACTACCAACAGCAGTCCTCCTTCCTAGCCATGGTCTCTCTACCTCCTTGTTGGCTAGCTGTGGTGGTAGCCATTCTCAAAGTGACCTAACCTCTACTCTAGGTGGCGCCTCCTCCCTGTTTCCTAGCTATGAAGGTAGCTCTTCTTGAAGCTGTCATCAAGCTCTATCTTCTCTCTCTCTCTCTCCTGAAGCTCTGAAATCTCTCTCTCTCTCTCTCTCTCTCTCTCTCTCTCTTTTTTTTTTTTTGGTTACAATGTGATGATGTGTTATCCATTTGCATTGCAAACTTGCTTGTTTTCAAGATTGGATGTTCTAGGAGGACAGCAGTCGTGACAGAGACCCCTTGTGCTTCACAGGGACCTAAGGCACCCGCATTATGTGCCTCACAAATTTTACCTGCATCCACAGCTGTCTCTTTTTCCTGCCTTGGTGGTCCTTGTCATCTTCTCTTGCCAATGGCATGAATTAACTGCTTCTTCTTCTTCTTCTGCTCCTCCTCCACCTCCCCCTCTTTCTCCTCCTATTTTTTTTCATTTTTTTTTCCTGTTGTTTTTGACCTGTTTTATTTTTGGTGTTTGTTGGGGTCTTGGAGATGACTGTTTTGGCCAGCCTTGAAAATCCTGAAAATCCTTGAAAACTCGAAAGAGCGAATTTTGCATGAAAACACACGTTTGCCTTCGGGGTTTTAGGCCCCTTTGATCCATTTTTTTTACCTTTTTTTTCCTGTTGGTTTATTTGGTGTCCATTCTGCGGACTGGTGACAAGTCAGGCTTAAAAGGTGTGGGACATTTGTTATAATTACCCTGAAAAAACCCTGAAAATTTAGGGCTCTGTTAACCATTCCTCCCTCGTCTTCCTCGTCCTCCTCGTCCTCCTCCTGCTTCTTCTTAACCTTCCCCTCTACCATGTTGAGAATCCTTCCGCGTGGTTTTGATTTGCAGGGAAAGTTTCTGTGCTCCAGAATTAGAAGCTTTTGATGGTGCTGAACAACCTGATCTTTTGATAGACTTTTCGAGTAATGGGCTCTTTTTCGGTACTGCAAGGTATCTCATGAACCTAGCAGGAGTTAAGGACTTCAAGATGAAGGATTTCATTAAGCCGGAGCCACAACGCACAGCCAGAAACATAAGTGCACTCGTTAACTTTTCGAAATTTAGGTGAGTTGGATTGTCTCTGTTGTTTTTTCTTGGTTCGCAGCTATCCAGGCCAATGTTTGTTGGAACTGCAACTGATAGCATTCAATGTGCGTGCATGCCAATAAGTTGCCCAAATTAAGAAACAAAAGAAAAAAGTAAAATAACCCATGCAGTATGCCTCATGGAATGTCTGAGGGCCTTGCCAGGCCGCATCAGACCTAGGCTGAAGGGGAAAAAGAGCCCCACGTAGAGATTCAGGGCCTAAACGAGTAACAGTTGGGAAAGTCAACTGTCGGATGCCCAACAGTCAAAGTCAAAGTGTACCCAGCCCAGGCCGCCGGTCAGACGCACACACTTGTTTGTATGCAGGTACCCAAACAGCATCAGGACCATAGGGAAGTCTGCAACTGTATGCAATCCAGACCCTCGGCTGTGAGTCAATCTGAACGACTGTGGGTGGGGGACCTGAGACCAGACAGCCTCGTCAAATGCTACATAAGGCTTGGTCTCCAGGTGGTCAGCATTCAGTCTTGCTATGCTGCCTTGACGCTGGCTTGAGTTTGGCTGGTCGCTGGCTTGACACTGGCTGGACGCTGGCTGGACGCTGGCTTGACGCTGGCTGTGTGCTAGTACTGTGGACGACGACGCAAGACTGTGGTAGCATGCTGGCGCCTTCTGTTCTGTGCGCCAGGCATTGCTGACGTGGTGCTTCCACCTGTGTACCTTGCTGATGTGGCGTTGCCACCTGTCTACATTGCTGATGTGGCGCTGCTGCCTGTCTACATTGCATTGCTGATTAGGCGCTACCACCCGTCTTCATTATTGATGTGGCGCATGCCACCTGTCTCTACTGGTGACGTGGCATTGGCCACTCTGTCTACATGAGGTGACTGGTTGCGACAAGGAGGGAGATCGGGATCCGTGGATGATTGGGAATTGGTACTCACCTGAGGTTCGTGTAAGTTGGAGACATTGTGCAGATCAGAGTCTTCCTGTACTTCGACGTTTGATGAGTATCTTCCAGTATGGGGTTCATTACAAAAGAAACAAACAGTTGTTAATACGGTTCATTAGTGGTCATCAATCGAACAACGTCAAACAGAGAATGAGAAAGAGTCAAGAGTGCAACTCCAGTCTGGTGGGGAGACGACAAATATTGCTCGAAGCAACAATACTGCATGGTGAACGACAGGCAGAAAGGGAGAAAAGGACGAGAAACGGGGGCCTGTGACAGATTGTTGCGCTAGGGTTTCACCAACACGCTAGGAGGCTGAACCCTTCCAGTCTAGCCTGCAGAGTCCCCTAACCGATGAAACTGTAAGTCATAATCCGCCTTAAGCCCATTGCGGTATATATACAACCTCCTGATGAGTCGGTGAAACTTCGATGAAACAGTCTGTGACAGCCCCTGGTTTGTCGTCCTCTTCACGGGGAAGTTCTCTATGACGATATATATATATATATATGTATACACTCGGCTGCAGTCATCATTGTCTCTATCGCAATCACCACAATGACTTGGTTTCTGCGTCCATATGTGCGGAGGACTGTCCCTCTTTTCCTAACTCCAGGCACCCTCTGCATCCAGACACTATATGTCCATTTTGCGGTCATGCGCGTTAGACTAAAATCATGGTCTTTTGCCGTGCCTGTCCTTTGTTCATGTTGGCCTGCAATTGACATGCCATTCATTGGAAGTGTTTGGTAGGCATGCTGAATGCCAGCTGTTGCAGGAATTGTTGTACTGAGAATGCTCAACTAGGTCTTCCTTGCGCTCTTCTATCTCATCCTTTTCATTCATTCCACTCTCCTTACCGCCCCCAATTTCTGTTTGTATTTCTTTCATTCGTCTTCTTTCCGTCTTTTCTCTGCGTTTATCCCCCCCCCTCTATATTGTCCCTCTTTTTCAGTGTACAAGGGCCGTTATGGCACATGAGGATGCGGGCACTTCGTGCTCGACTTCATCATCTTGGCGAGCCTTGTACATGAGAGGCACAGTAAAGGGGGATCTACAAGAAGAAATGATCAAAAGAATGGTATCAATGTGCTCTTCATGCTTGTCTTCTGTATTTTTTTGTTTGTTTTGCAAAGTGTGCTCTTTTAGTTCATAGATATGTTCTGTTTGACGATACATATCTGTTTGACGGTATATATGTATATCGAGTCGGGGACAATCATGTGAGCCAGCCACGTTCACTACGTTCTACACATGCCTCCTTGCACCATCTTCAACAACACTTTGTCATTGTCCTTGTGGACAAAACATCACACAATTTGGCAATTTGCGGCAAGAATTGGTATCTGTTTCATCTCTCTACCCATTTGGACAGTTCCACTTATACTCATCCTCAAGAGTCCGTTGCTGATGTCCTTGACCACCATGTAGTGTGGAATCACCATTGGGGTTATGCCCACACTGATACCCTACCTTACCTTTACTTTGTACTCAAAGCTCACAAGTCTCCACCAACTGTTCGCAACATTCTCGGAGTCACAACACAAAATAACAGTGTTGTTCCCCTGCGTGCTCGCCCTCGTCCAACAATTCGCACCATTCATGAACGGCCTTGTCACAAACCCTTGGCTAGCCCAACAACTACTTCGTCGTATCTCAGCGCTGCTTTGCAATGAGTGATCTCTACTCTTTGTGAGAAAGACACTGAGCTCTATGAACAGGTTGGTGTTCGACGGTGCTGGATCGTTCAGAGTGCCGATGAAGTGATGATTGACCTGAAAAACAATGCATCGTCACTTCGTGGCCTCTCTCCTCGCACTGTTGATTTTACCACAATGTACACCAACCTTCCTCCTTTGCTTTGTTGTACAAAGCACTTTTCTATACACTAGAGATGACACGCTTCGGAAACAAATTATCGCTATTCCAATGGGAACGAATGGTGGCCCAAAAATTTCTAATCTAACACTGTATTGGGATGAAGCACGCTTTGTTGACGACATTCGTCAACATGATCTTCAAGCTGCTCAACAATATGCCTTCACCTTTAGCCTCATTGATGATGTTCTTTCATGGGATCAATTACCTTCTCCACCAGAGCACTATGGGCTTGAGTGGAAGGAGACTACAACTACAGATGGCTCCTGTACCTTTTTAGGTATGCATCTACGGGTCCGTTCCGATGGCTCGCTTCGCATGAGCGTCTTTGATAAAGCGACTGCTTGGGACTTCCCTGTCGTTCGTTATCCAAGTGCGACCTCCAACATCCCTTCCCATCAACCGGCWGGTGTGTTCACTGGGCATTTGACCAGATTTGAACAAATCATTAACAATTGGCAGGACTTTCGAACTGCGGCAACAACACTTACTCGTCGTATGCTTTCGTGAGGGCTTTCCCAACCAACCCTTGCTAAGGGGTGGACTTGCTACATGCGCTCCCGCCAACGTCGCTATCCTAAGTATGTGACGCGTCTCTCTCAGTGGTTCCGACGCATGCTGCGATTGCCCTTGTATCATCCAATTTCTTCTTCGCCCCCACGATGCTCTCGTCCTGCCCCTGCTTGCTCATCTGCTGTTACCGCAGTTTCCACTATTGCAGTCTTCACTCCTGCAGTTTCCATTGTTGCAGTCTCCACTCCTGCAGTGTCCACTGTTGCGGTTTCCACTGCTGCAGTTTCCACCGCTCCTGTTTCCGCTGCTGCGGTTTCCATTGCTGCAGTTTCAGTACAGCAGTTTCCCTAAGTGTAATTTTCCCTACTTTAGTTTTTACTGCTACAACTTCCTGTTCTGCATCTCCAATGCAAGAAACATTACGATCTCTCCGACGCTCACGTCCTTTGCTCCAAAATCTTGCCCAATGCACCCCCTCTCATCTTTGTCTGTGCTTGGCCATAGACGGATGCGTTCCTCTTCACCACCTTCATCTCCTCCACGGTCTCGCTTGCGAACAGACTCTCCAAGTTGCATTGTTCCCATTGTTCCACCTTTGTTGCTAGGTACAAGTTCAACTTCTGTTTGCAACACCACTACTCTTGTTGTGTATCACCAATGACATCCGAGGCATCGTTACTTATCCGGGGATCAGCAACCTGTTTCTTTGTCTACCCCGATTCTCTTTGTGCCTCCTCCACAGGTTGTTGTGGTTCCTTTGTTTTAAACGACAATATCCGCTCCTATGCCTCCTGCAGACAGTCCAGCTGCCTGCAGGCAGCCACGGTACCTTGCGGCGTTAGATGTTCACGACTCACCTATAAAACACGATGTGGTCCCTGCCCAGAGTACACTCCCGACTTCAGGTACAGTCCCTACTCAAGATGCAGCGGCTGCCCATAGTACACTCCCGAGTCAAGGTACAGTCCCTACTCAGGATGCAGCCCTAAACGTTGAGGGATTGGAAATTGATCTGCCCGGATTGCAGTTGACCCCACAAGGCGTAGACCACACGGTGGATCTGCAAATGGCTGACCAACATTGTTCGGATGAACCACAATTTTGTGCTCCGCCACACGCAGACCACATGGGTGATTTGCAAATGACTGACCAGCAAACAACCCAACACACTTTGGCCTTGCAACACCACCTAGGTGATCTGCAAATTGTTGCCCAGCATCCAACAAACCAGCCTGAGAGCCTCACGAATCTCTGTGTCTGACAACAACTAATATTTGTCTTCACATTCTCCACCGCCCGTTTTATACACCATTAGACTTTCTTGCAATTGCCGTTCAGCTTGATGCTGATCTTCCCCAACGACAACCAGAGGATTATAATTATACCAGCGAAGGAGGCTTTACCATTGCTGTCCTACAAGTAGCAATGAGGGACCGTCAACTTGAACTACGCAATGCTCGAGCAGGTGAGTGGTTTAATCCTCCATCCCACATCTCTGCCTGCATCGTGCACGACACTGACCATTACATGGCCATTGTACATGCCTCTGACCACTGGGAGCTGTGGGACAAGGGCACCATGGTCCATGCCATGATTGATGTCACTGATTTCTTACAAAATGATGCTGTTCTTTTGCCACAACAAACCGTCCTCAATCTCTTTTATGTCGAAGGTC